AGTATAGTATCTACTCAGACCATGGACAAGGCCTTAGTATCTTAAAATGCAAAAGATCTTTTGCATGTTTGTTTGCTTTATGGAGTTTTAGTTTTAATTTGGTTTTTTGAAATGTTAAGTGTACACCATAAAGAAAAATTTATCACAAGAAATCTATTTTATTCATTCAGTAAGAAGTATAGTATCTACTTCAAAATGTTGCACAATGGAAGTATATCACTCCCCAGAGGTTTCACTTGATGGTTGGCATTCACAAGTTGTTTTATTCCATTCCAATCTTAATTGATAATATCTATAACACTCCAATCACAATTCACACAATGACATATAGGTTACAGAAAGGCTGAGAAAGTATTAAGGCAGCCACAGAATTTAAAGAGATCATGCAAGGAATCAAAGACCAGAGTCATACAAATGCAGTTAAATGAAGGTGATCAGATAAGGGATTAATGAACCCAGCTGGCAGATCTGTCAAGGCACCAAAGAAAGGGTCCCACAACAGTTTCAAAGTGAGCAGCATCACAGGCAGGAAAAATCATACTCAGCAGAAGCCAGGGATAGAGAATTGGGAGTTCATCTCTGGTGATTTTCCTGGGCAAGGCTGGTGACAGATGACAAGGTGGTGGGCCAGCATTCCATGCCACGATTTGCATTGCCTCTCCTTTTATGGGTCTTAGGCTGCATCTGGTATGTTTGATAAGCTTGGGTGCCTGGGTTTTCTGATGTTGTTTGATCAGTCCATGCATCTATGTGCTCCTGATTTAATTTGATAAGTTCACAAGTGGTAATTTTTTACTTACATGAATAAGTTATTTTTCAGTCCATTCCTTATGGTTCTGCTGTGCAGCTGGGAGTTGTTTGTTTTTTTTTTAAGTTGTAGATGGACATGGTACCTTTATTCTGTTTAAATAGTTTTTTTTAATGTAGCGCTGGGGATTGATCCAGGGTCTCACACATGCTAGGCAAGCATTCTACCATTGAGCTACAACCCCAGCCCCCTGGGGGTTGTTCTTCTCAATAAATTCTGTGTGCCCAACATCTGATGGTTATTTACTTGCCAGAAAATTTACAAAGTCATTCTTCCTTAGCATTCACCTCCAAATGGAGGGTGCATGGCGAACTTCTGCTTTATAAAATGGAGTAACTCAGGGCAGGGCACAGCCTGCTCTCCACACCATTCCATATCTTAACATATATCTCTAATTCCAATATAATGTGGTACCATATCTACATCTGTTGTTGTTTTTATAAAGCATACAGTGAAGAATAGCTAGTTCCTGACGTCTTTATCCCATATAAGCCATTTCCCAGGGAGAACAGGTGTCCTGTCTTACATTGAACCTGGCCAACATATTGGTGCACTTTTGTCCATTTTATTTTGTCCATTCACATCCATCACTCATTTACACAAGCATGTCTACATTTCTTTCTTTTTCTTGGGGTGGGGGGAGTACTAGGGATTGAACTCAGCAGCACCCAACCACTGAGCCACATCCCCAGCCCTATTTTGATTTTATTTAGAGACAGGGTCTCACTGAGTTGTTCAGCCTTGCTGGTGCTGAGGCTGGCTTTGAACTCACAATCCTCCTGCCTCAACTCCCAAACCACTGGGATATTGGGCATGCGCCACTGCGTGCAGCTACATTTTTCTTTTATTTCAGATTCCAATTTCTCTAGACTCCAATTATGTCTTTACTCTGGATTCCCTCAGCATTCACAAGTTAGTCAGACATTATCTTGTTTTGATAATATATTATGAAAAACAGCATGCTTAAGTGTGTGTAAAATGTGTATACAGTTGTTCTTCAGTTGCTGGTATAAGGTTCCAGGGCTCCCTAAGGATACCCAAATCCTTGAATGCTCAAGTCCCTTGTACACATAGTGTAGTGTTTACAAATAATCTCTACATATCCTCCCATACACTTTAAATCACCTCTTGATTGTTTATAATACCTGTTGCAATGTAAATGTAATATAAGTAGTTGTTACATTATTTATGGAGTAATGACAAGAAAAAACGTCTGTAAATGTTTATTACAGATGAATTTTTTTTCAAATGTTTTCAATCTCTGGTTGGTTGGATCCATAGATACAGAACTCATGGATACAGAGGGCTGACTATGTTTAAGGAAGCAGTGGAATATTATATGGTGGAAACCTCCTGTCACTCCTCCAGTTCCCCTGTGCCACCCTTCTATCACATAAGTATCTCTCTCCCTTAGAGGTAACTACTAGCCTGAATTTTAGATAAATCATTCTCTAACTGTCCTTTGTTCGGTAGTTCTCAAGCTTTAGTGGATCAGACTCACCTGGTGCTCTTGTTAAAACAGATTACTGGGTCCCACCCCTAAATTCTGATTTAGTAGATCTGGGGGTGGACCTCAAGAATTTGCATTTTTTATAAGTTCCTGGATGATGCTGATGCTGCTGATCCGGGGAAAACATTTTGAGAACTACTGCTTTATCTCAGTGATACTATTTAACTTGTATATGATGACTCTTAGTCCTCATGAAGACAAAAGGAGAATTTCTTTGGAAGCACTTCTCAAAATGGAGCTGGGAGGCCATTTTGGAAGCAGGTCTCCTGCAGGATTTCAGCTCCTGCAGGGACTGTGAACTTGGTCACCTCCATCCTTTGACTGCAAGGCATCTGGAACAACCAAAGCAACTGGTAGATTCCTTTATATCCAGTGGCTCCAGATGCATAGTCAGAGGGTATTGGACTCTTGATTTACAGACATTTCCATTCTCTTTCTATATTCATTTATTTGTCTTTTATCAGGTCACATAGCCCTTGTTTCTTCTCAACATATAAGCTCTCACTTTTTCTGCCTTCCTCAGGACACTGATTCAGAGCTATCTGAACCCATGTCTCCCAAATTGCCGTTCCTAAGACCCCAAAGAAAGGTCTTCTTTACTTCTAAGTTTCTGCACTTAGATTGGTCAACATCCTTTTAGGACCCATTAGTTCTCCTTGAAAACTCAGTCACTCAATAAATGTCTGTTAAAGACCTCGTCCCCGTCTTCCTGTACCCCACTTTCTATCACCCAGTTTGTGAGTGTTCAGTCTTTATTCAGTATTTTAATTGATTTTTCTTTAACTTGAACATTTCCAGTTTTTTATTTTGTGTTAGTCATCCCATTTATGGGTTTCCTTTTGTGTATAATTGTTATTAACCAGAAGGAATAATATAAACAACATTTTTGTGTCTTGTTTAGCTAGTCTGTAAGCTCCTTGAAAGATGAACAAGACACACAAATGTTGCTTGTATTATCCCTTCTGGTTAATAACAATAGTACAAAAGAGAAAACCCACTTCCTCAATTAAACTGCAGGCCAAGTTTGCAAATTCAGTGGCTACTAAAGCCAAAAGGCAATGTAAATAAGTGACAATTGCCAGATGGAAGCCATGTCCTCTGCAAAGAGAGCAGCTATCACTTGGCTTTAAGTCAATTGCAGGCCCAGGGCTCTCCAGTTTCTCCCTTTTTTCAGGAGAAACTCGAGGTAATCTCAACTAATTCAACATTCTAAGTACAGGGAGCAGATTATACAAGATATATCTGCAGGAATTAAAAAAAACTGAATCTATTTCATGACTTTTTTGCAATTAATGAATGGGTGGATGCGTGAGTGAGTGAGTAAATGAATCTAGGTCATTATGGTAACTAACTCTCCAGTTGAAACTGGGTGAGTGGAGGAAATGAGAAATTGTTGAGTTCCTAGCCTGACCCTGGGCAGGAGGCTTTACACACTTATCTCATTTGACCTTCATAATGGCACCACAAGGCTGTTTTTATTATTTTTCATTTACTTCCTCATTCATTTCATAGGTAAAGAAAATAGAGGCTTAGAAAGGCCCAAGGTCACACCACTAGTTTTCTTTATTTATGATCTACCTAATTCCAAAAATGGGATTTCATAGGGATTCACATGATTTCAGCTGGGTCCTGAACCTTGAATTGCAGACAGATCTATTCTGCAAAATGGCCATTATAAAATGAATCCGGTTTTCAGAAGGTAGGAAGGCTCTGGTACCTACAGTTAGGGAGGAGGTTTGATTTCTTGGGCATCTTACTAAGAAACTCAGTTTTCTTCTTCTCAAGGCTTTGGCCAATACTAAGGAGCCAAGATGCAAGGGTATCTCTGGCCAACTTGGTTCTGTACCCAAATCCCCATAATGAAATTAATAAAAGAAAAATGTTCTCTTGTAAAAGGTTTAAGCCATTGTCCTTCCTCCATTTAAAATTTTTAAATGAAAGAGCACATTCTTTCTTTTAAACCCAGAGAAGATATAAATAAACCTTCTAGCTTCACTTGCTTCTAGTTACTCACTTTCATCACTGATTTTACGAGTTCCTTAGCTAAACAATAAAGTTATAGACCCTGCTAGCTTTATTGAAAATAACACCTCTGATGTATGATCACCTTGGTGACCATTGTTTAAGTTGTTTTTTAGGGATCTGGAGATAGCTTAGTCTAGCTCAAACCAGTTGAAGCCACCTACCCCTTCCCTTGGGCCACACAGGTGTCTAATGGGTGACCTTTTAACATTGGAAAGCCAAAAGCTCCACCCACATACCATGCCAACACTGACATTTTCAAAATGAGACCTATGAAAAGCCATGAAATTGAATTACGCATGTGCAGATCACTGATTACTTCACCTTTCCTTACCTTCAGTTGCCTTTCCCTGTGCCTCACACCACCCGTTTTTTTTTTCCCATAAACACCCTAAACCCTATTCTCAGCAAGGTGGATTTGTGGCTTGTCTCCTGTTGCCACAAAATTGGTTCCTCTCTTTTGTGAAACTTGTCAGTTCTACGCAGCAGGCAAAATGGACCTGGTTCAGTAACAGAATGCCCTTACTGTTTCTTCCTGTCTCTCTACTTATTATTCTCTCAGAATTCAAGATTTCTGCCTATTGGCCATAATTCCTGTCTAAAGCATACTAGTGAGAGTCCTAGAGTGCCCAATAAGGAAAGAGACACAGATACAGGAGCTCTTGGGATGGAATACTTTTTATTGGAGTTATTGAGCCAGAAAGGAGTTTTTTTGGATTACGAATGTGCAGACCACTGATTACTTCGCCTGGAAATCATATCCCACTCCAATCCCCTCTTCCAGCGGGGGCTCATCAGTCCTGAATCTTTAATAGAATGGTCACTGGGCATCAGGAATTACACTCCTCAGTCCTTTCAACTGGAAGGAGAAGAGCTAGAGTCAGATTGAGGACCTTGGGTGCTGGAATCCGTGAGGAAGCAAATATAGAATGAGGCACTGATGGAAATGAATTTCTGGCCCAGTTAAAGTTTCCATTCTCCTCTGAATATAACAGCTGAGATTTCCCTTAACTTTGGTGAGAAAAAGGTTTATCTTCCCTTCACTGCCCCCACTCTCCCTCCCAGGTCCTCTACTTCCTCCCTCACCCCAACCTCCTTTTCCTCCTAATGGATACCCTCTTACCTTAGGAAAGGCATCCCAGTTGACGAAAGGGAGTGTCTTCTTGAAGGCCTAGATGAAGAAAAGAAAATAAGAATAATGTCCTACATGCAGGGATCAGTAAGCACTCAATGAATGAGCCTCCTGAAGCGATACTGGCTCTAACTGTTCTACCATTACAGTTAGAGCCAGTATCCCCAGAGGCCTTAGTCTGTGTCTGCCTTGTACCACCTGCTCTGCAGGCATGATCGCATTTGGGGATTTTTTTTTTTTTTTGAGGTAAGTACTGATATCATCCTGTCACAGAAGAGGAAAGAAACTGAGGCTCAGGGAACTGAAGACATTTGCATGAGGTCACATTGAAAGTCAGCTTCATGAGATGAAGCTCTAGGTCCAACTCTGTCACTGACTCTCCATAGAGGATGAGGGGATTCAAATAAAATCCTGACTAGGGTCAAGATTTTTGAAGCTCTCTGTGGCTCTGTCTCCCAATCGCCATCTTAGGAAAATAGAGTGTAACCAAGGCAGCCTCCTGGGGAAACTGGTTGACAACGTGTTGGGCAGCACCCAAGCATGGCATTTACTTTCTCTTAGAACTCAGGACAAACCCAAAGGGCTAAAATTAGAAGGGGGTGCCACTGCCCTGGAAAGTTGGCAAACAAGGGGGGGGGGCGCCAAGCATTTACCTCAATAATGGCGTGCCAGTTCAGGAATTCATCAGACTTAAAAGCCTGCAAGAAAGAGAGGCCAGAAGCAGATGAGTTCCAGAACTTGTCCCACCTTTTGAAAAAGGCAGACTCTGTAAGCTATTAATCCCCTCTATGGTGTGGGTATTCCTGGAGGCAGTAATGAGGGAGGCCTACTTACAGATCGCAACTTGTCGATGTTCAGAAACTGAGGGCTATTGTCCTAGGCAAAAAAACAAATGCGTTTAAAAAGTTGCTGAGAGCACAAAGGTAGGGGACGCCCTCATGGTTGGGGTGTATGGGAAAACAGATTGTTTACCTCTGGTCCTAGTGCATAATTACCAATGGTAGTTTCTTCCTAGAAGAAGAAAGGGTTAGGGTTAGGGTTAGAGGCAAATGATCACATGATAGCAGCTGTCTCTGCCATGTCCCTCTTGACCAGCCATTCCCCAAGGGCCTACAACCCATTCTCCACCACAGGGCCTCAGAGTGTTCACCCTCTGGACAGTGATGTTCCAGTGGTGCACATGGCTGGCAGATGTGCAAAGTGAGGAAGGACATCCTGGAGAATGGCAGGTAGAAGGAAGTATGTCCCGATACACAGCAGATGGAAAGGGTGGAGAAAATAGGACTCCTTCCAAGAAAACTAGCCCTGATTGTTCTGCAGCTGACTTAATTCCAAGAATAGTTGATTTGGGGTGTTCTGGAAACACCCGTGCTTAGCACATAGATCTGGGTGGGGAAGATTAGCATGCAGTTGGGAGTCAAGCTACTGAGGTGAGCTACCTGCCTTTAATTGATTGAGATTGGTTTGCTTTGTGGCTTTATTGCCACCAATACTAGATTCTCCTTTCCCTCCTTCATTTGGTACCCAGTCTTCAGGGCATCCAGTCTTGTCAACTTCTTCCTTCCTTCCTCCCCACCTCAGAGGTCCCAAACACATAGCCCCCAGGCTAGATCCAGATGCTTAGATATCATCATAGTGGTTTGGCATGTTTGTTTTTTAGTTTGAATTAAATGTTTTTAATAAGGAAGAATTTGTAAATAAATCCAGATTTCCAGTTTCTCCTGAAATTTTTAAAACTCTGACCAAACATTTCCCACCAAGCAGCTATCAGATGGAATCAAGACTTCCCCCCCCCTTTAGATTGGGCAAGTCTGCTTCCCTTCGTCTGAGACCCCAACAGTGCTCTGATCACTCTGATCACTGCTCACTGCCCACTTGCTGGAATCCTTAGCAGTTACTCTGGGACCCCTACTTTAGACTTTTAAATCCAGAAGGGATATCCTTCCCCCACCTTGGGATAAGATAGGGGTCAAGGGCCCCCAGAATTCCTCACTGGATGGGCACAGGGTCATAAGAAGTCTGGATCATAAGTAACTAGATCATAAAGTGGTGGGAGCCTGCTGTCACCTGGAAGTTGTTCCAAAGGTTACAAAGGAAACAGATCAGGCTGAACCCAGATCATCTGCTCCCAGATTCTGCAAGCTAGCCTCCACCCCACACTGCACCATCCCTTCCAGAAATGTGTCTCTCTCCCTAAATGTCTTCCCAGGAATGCTCTCTTCCCTTCTTCCTCTCCTTCCTTCCTCAGCACCCCCGCTTTCCTTTCAGCTCCTGATAGTATCCCCAAAATAAGAGCCATTTATCCCGCCGTGGATAGAAGGTCAAGAAACTGAGAGGTAGGTCGGTAACGGGGTTAGGAACAAAACAGATGCTGGCGATGTGCTCACCTCAGGACTCCCCAGGGAAGCCCCCTGGGTGGAGTGGAGCGCCAGAAGAGCCAGAAGAGCCACCGCTGGAAGAACTGGGATCTTCATGATGTCAAGTTGGGTGTTCTGAGGCGGGGCCTCACCGCTTGCCCTTTATATTCCCAAGAAGGTGGATATGAGCTGAAGTGGGGTCCCCACCCCACTGACTCACCCCCAGATCATGTCGCCCACCCCTGGGGCCTAGGAGGGGGTGGCATGGACTGTTCCCCATTTGCCTTTGATTTCTCAATTCACATTCTGCCCCAGGCATTTGGAATGGGTCTCTTCATGTGAATGAGGATGGGATGGAGACAGGTTGGACCTGTCCCTCCAAAGCGTTGGCAATGCCATCCGAGCAACCTGTCCTTCTGTCTTTGTCTCTTTTCTTTCTGACTCTCGTTCCTCTATTATTTCAGTCTCCTCTTCTCACCCTACCAAATCTTTCTCAAGTCCTTAGACTGGCACTGAGGGCCTTCCATGCTCAGGTCCTATCTGCCTCTCGACCCCATGCCCCATGTACTGTACACTGGACTCCTTACCAAACACGTCCCTTTTTCCTCCTCCAGGCTCTGGCTGTGCTGTTCCTTATTCCTAAAATGCCCTTCCCTCATCTCCAGTTCTCAGAATGCAACATTCCCCTTGGCTGAGGCCGCCTCGATTTCTCCCACCATCCCCTGTTGCCCCGCACACACCTTCACCCTCTTGAAATATCTGTCAGTTCATTTGTATCTCTCTGGTATTGTACCTGGAGTAAATGATATTCGTCTCTTTTCCTTCTTAGAATGTAACTGCCTCAAAGTCAGAAACTATATTTTAGTCACCATTCTATTCCCCTAGCACCATGCCTTAAGCAGAACTCAGGCGTGTTAAGGGTGCTAGAATTGACTCTTAAGCAGCCTTCTACCAAGCTCTCTGCTCCCCTCTTGTGCCTGGACCCCTCCCATGATTTAGCTATCCATCTTTCACTCTTGGGTCTTCAGGGGGATGGCTGCCTTGACCTAAAAAGGCAAAGGGGACAGAGAAACACAAAGGAGGCAAAAACAAGCCTTGGAGAGCCGGATTAGAGGTGGCATCTAGAACTCCTGAACTCTGAGTGCCTACTCCATTTCATTGAGCTTATCCATCTCATTGAGCTCACTCCACCCCTCGCTTGGGATTTGGATCACCTCAAAGTGACAAAACAGCCTAATGAAGCAACCTTCTCCACAATGAGGTTCAGGTGGCCCAACCAGTTCCTGGTGTAACAGGGAGGCGCTGAGACAGAGGCCGGTGCTGTAAGGGCAAAGCAAGCCCTTATCTGAGGGTGGGTCTCTTTACCCCAACCTGATGCAATACATATCAGCAGAAGGCCTGGGGTAGAAGGGCTCCATGTCATCATGAACAATTTTCATGAACTCCGGAGACTAGTCACCTGGGTCCCCACAATGCCTCAATAGCCCAGCCCTAGAATCCTGCCCCTCTTTAACCTCAGGAAGCCTCCTCTGTTTGTATGGTGGTATCTCCCCCTTTCCAGAGCCGCCTGAGGAGACAATGGTTGGGGAGTCTCACTAAGTATAGATGACCATGTGGCAGTAGATGTCATGTACAGCTGGTGCTACTGGAGGGGACAAGTAAGAATGATTGAGGTGGGTGGAGTTCCTCTCAAAAAGTTTTCTGGAGGACACAAGTTTTTTATGTATAAGAAACTCTTACTAATAAACAGTGACTGGAGAAGCTCATTAACCACCATTCTGTCAGCAGAGGGTCAACTTCAGGAGTGGACGGAATGAAGAGTCACTCAAAGGAGAACAGATATTATGTAAATCAAGTTCATTTAGACATGCAAATGGAGAATCCAATTTTAGTTCTGGCATGGATACTCCAAAGCACAGATGCTCCAAACACCATCATCTGTTTGGCTCTAGAGTCTGATCTTTTGCAACATATTGACCTCCCGTTGTTTTTCTTTCCACTTAATGGCATTAATAATAATATTAGCCAATTTACCGAAGGCTTGCTATGTGGTAGGCCTTGTGCTAAATGCATGAGCTCATTGAAATATTACAGAGATTCTATGAGCTGGGTACTGTAATTACCCACATTCTGTAGGTGGGAGAACCACAACATTCGAGGTTAAATAACTTATCCAAGGTCACACAGCCAGTGTGTGGCAGGGCCGGCATCAGAACTCAGGGATTCCAGAGTCTGAGCTTGAATTGGTCTTTTGCTATACTGTGGGGAGTGTCCTACAAAGGGTCTATGCATGCCCCAAGAGCAAGGGGGAGACTGCAGTTAAGCCTCATTAGCCCCAGCTGCCAGATGTCCTTTGTGTTGTGCAGCCTGCACAGCCACAGGTGGCTGTTCCAAGCATATGTGCATTAATTCAATGGATTAAACTATACACATTTAGCAAATGAACACAAAGACCTAAGAGATTAATAGCACCCAACAACCCTGCACCCATAATGAACCTGCAGCTGCCTCTGTTTCCAGATGCCTCTTCTGGTCTGAGCATCTTGCTCCTCCAAGTATGTGTTTCAAGACAGAGTTCCTGGTCTTCGTGTTTAAAGATAGATACTTTTGACATGATACTGGTAAACACTAGCCAACGATTTCAGGTGCTTAACCAAAGAAATTCTGTTCCTGTGCTGGAAGAAAAAAAAAATTAAACTTCTGTGTTGGACTTGTGACTGTTTCCATCTGGCAGTTTCCTGAGAGTTTCAAGCATAATGTCTCTATAAGATGCAAGTGCTGACCTTAGAAACTAGTGTCCCTTTTCCACATTCCATTCCCCCCACCCCACCCCCATCCACATTGCTTCAGTCTGTTTTTTTCCCCCAAGTGCCCAATGTCCAGTGGTTGAGCGAGTCGGGGGAGG